ACAGAGAGGCTCGGTGGCTTGAGGGTCCTTTGCTAACGTGGAATCCTTAACTGTTGTTAGGGGCCAGCCAGTCAGCCCTGATTCAAAACTAAGCAGCGCTCAGGCCAGCACGATCCCGGCATGTGATCATGAATAGGGGCCTGGCATGCAAACACTAACCTTTCCACTTTAAAAGATTTTAAATATGCATTTTACTTTTATAGTATATGTATCAACAAAAAAGCCTCACAGCCTTCGAGAGGACTCCAGCGATAGAGACCCAGAGGACAGGGTAGCACTGCCCCTGAGTCCAAGACTAGAACTCTTTAATTTTTATCATAACTTACATTTTATGTTTTGTTTTATTTATATAATTTTTTCCAAAACCATTTTCTCGGGAACTAATACAGATATCATATCATGCCATAGTTCAATCACAACAAGCAGTGTTGTACAATTGCTATCACAATCTGTTTCAAAACATTCTCTTCCTTCTTGAACTCCTTGACATCAGCTCCCTTGCACACACACCCCACTGAACCCCCAGAAACCCTTATTCTACTTGCTGTCTCTCCATAGAGGTTCATCGATCCTGGGTTTCATATGCAAGAGAGGATGGCACATGGTTCATTGGTGTTAGTCAGGCTGCCCCGGGCTGTCTGGCCAAGGCTATAATGCCTTATGGGAATAGAATGTCCCATCTTTCCCCCTTGTAGTTTACATGTCATTGCTATGTGCCTTTGGACCGATTCTGTTTCTTAGGCTGAGCGTTTGTTAGGCTGTCAGCTCTACTGATGGAGATGGCAAGATCTTTTTCCTGGGGAGCTGCTGGTGAGTTTGAACCTCCAACCTTTTGGATAGCAGCTGAATCTCCCTACCACAAAGCTCAGCTGGGCCAGCACCGTCCGAGGGCAGTAGCTGGCTGGGATGGAGGTGTGTGGCTGCTTCCCATGGGGTTCACACTTTCATTTCACCATAGTATGCCCACACACACCCCCACACCCCCTAGGACACTATGGCCTCGTCGTTGGTGTCAGGTGGCTTCTCACAGCTATGTCACTGCTCCTGTGGCTCTCTGTTTGAGTGTGGGACTTCTAGTCCATGTGGTGTCCTGGTCTCTGGGTGGTGTAATAGTTCACACTCAAAGACTAACACACTCATGCTGCGGTGTAAGAGAGGTCTGGGGTCCTTTCTATGAACATGAAAGCTCTCTAGAGCAGACTCACTCTGTCACTCATGAGGCCACCATGAGTTGGCAGTTGGGAAACTCAGGGACAATGGCTTTTATTGATTGATTTGGTCTATGGTGACTGTGGAGTCAGTCCAACTCATAGTGACCCCAAGACAGAGCAGAACTGCCCTCATAGGGTTTACAAGGCTGGAATCCTTTTGGAAGCAGGCGACCACTGCTTTCTCCCACAGAGCAGTGGGCGGGTTTCAACCACTGCCTTTGAGTTAGCAGCTGTGTGCTGGCACAGTCCCTGGCAAAGGACATCATGCTTTCTAAGGGAGAGGGTCAATGAAGAAGAGGAAGACCCTCAAGGAGATGGATTGACATGGTGGCTGTGGCAATGGGCCCACGCAGTGACGACAGCCTGTCTCAGGAGGGGACAGTGTTTTGTTCCCCTAGCCATGGGGTGGCTGTGAGTCTGAACCGAACATCAATCATGGTTTGGTGATCCTTCTAAGGAGAGGGAGCCAGTGCAGCCCCACGCTGCCCCTCAGGGACCGCGCCTTGGTTATGAAAGGCTCACAAGCCACCATCACCATGATTTATTCTGGAGTTCCCTTTGGGAACGAGCTCTCGGGGCGTCTGGCCAGCCTGCAGTGTCTGACATCTGTCCCCCTCCCACTGACACTCCCCTCCCCACCCCACATGCACACACATGGAAAACTGGGCAAATGCTTGCTTCTCGCCAGACTCTTGAAATTGTGTTTGATTTCTGGTCCCAAGCTTACATCTCAATTTTCTTCCTAAAATTAGTCTCCTGGGTCTGATCATCTTGTGTTTCTAGAATATCTTGTGCCATCTGTACTTGAGATCGCTCGCTCTTTCTCTCTCTTTCTCTTTCTCCCTCTCTCTCATGCAGCCTCCTCTCTCTGTCCACTGCTCCAGAGAGAGCTCAGACACAGGGGCCCCAGCAGGTGAACTGATGCTATGCCAATCTCCACCTCGGCAGCCACCTGCATTTGAAATCCTCGGAGTCACTTTCTGGACCACAGGCACGTCTCTGCACTGTACAGACAAGGAGTCTAGAGCAAGAGCCTATGCAGGGCATGCTGAGTAGCTGGAGGTGGATCTCTGCTGGAGGGTACCAGGGAAGGTCTGCTTTGGCCCAGTTCTGAGGACAGGAGGTGGGAGCTGGTAATGCTACAGACTCAGGAGGTGTGGAAGGCAGGGATGACCATGGAAACACACTCCCATTGGAGGAGCTCTGCCAAAGGGGACATCCCCCAGCCGACAGGGGGAAGGAGAGGGACTGCAGGATGTATCCTTGCCCTTCAAGGCAGTTGGGTCCTGATGTCCTCCAACCTTTGGCACTTGTTTCTGATACTCTGCAGCCACCCCACAGTGAGTCGAGGGTGCAAACTCAGAAAAGGAGACCGCGTCCACCACATGAGGAGAAGGACCATCCATGGAGAAGCCTCTCTGGAATGATCTCTAAGGGCAGCCCCCTAGTAGCTGGCCCAGGGGCTTCTTCCTCATGCAGGGCATTGCTGTTGTTAACTTGGGTTTTATCTGATATGCAACGGCATTCCACGGTGTGGAGCCTAACAAGCAGTGGCTACCATTGAGAGACATGGAAACTCCAGAACACCTTTTTGTGCTCAAGCAGAACCTGACCGTCGACCAAGAGGCAGCCATTGAGACAGAACAGGAAGATACTTCATGATTTCATAGCAGGAAAGCTATGCGTCGATGTTGTAATCTTTCCCCATACTCGCCCAATCTGTCTGCTGAGCCAAGAATCCCAAATTGTGCTTCATGACACCGGATGGGAGGAAGGCTTGTTAGCACACAGAGCTAGGCAGACGACACAGCCTTGGGTGCTGGAAACCAAGAGGATGCAAAGCACTTGGGATGAAGATCAGAGAATACAGCGTTCTTTTCAACTCGGGGTAAAGGAAACCGAATTCTCACAACTGGACCGGTAGACAACCGCGTGAAAAACGGAGAGAAAATTTAAGTGATCAAGGATTTCCTCTTGCTTGGATCCACAATCATTGCTAATGGACGTAGCGGTTCAGTAATCCAATCACATATTGCACCGGGAAAATCGGCAGCAAAGAGCTGAGATGCGACTTTGAGGATTGACCCAAGCCACGCTGTTTTCAGTTGCCTCAGACACATGTGAAAGGAAGATGGAAGACGAGCTGATGCATTGGAGTTAGGGTATGGGCAAAGAACATTGAACGGACCGCGGACTGCCACGAGAACCCACGAGTCTGTCTTGAAAGAAGTACAGCCAGCATGCTCTGTGGAACTGAGGATGTCAGACTTCACCTCATCTCTTTGGGGCATGTCATCAAGAGCGACCAGTCCCTGGAGGAGGACACCACGCTTGGTCAAACAGAGGGTCGTCGGTAAAGAAGAAGACCCTCTATGAGCTGCACTGGCACAATGGAGCAACGCACAGACACACTGTGAGCATGGCAAAGGACGTGGGGGCGTGTGATTCTCTTGTCCATAAGGCTGTGGTGCATACGATCCACCACCAAGGGGCCCAACCACCACGTGCTGTTAGCTGTCATCAAGTTGGTTCCGACTCACGGTGACCCCACGTAATAAAGGAGATCTGCCCCATAATGCTTTCTTAGCCTGTTATCTGCCTGAGAACAGAGGGTCCGGTCTTTCTTCTATGGAGCTGCCGGTGCAGTCTACTTGCCCACATTTGAACGAGCATGAAGCCCACTGCTGTTGAGTCGATCCTGTCCAATGACCCTAACAGAGTAGGGCTGCCGATCGGATTCCAAAGGATGCCACACTTGTGGAAACCGACTGCCACGTCTTCTGAACCATTGGCCTTTTGGTTAGAAGGCAAGCACTTAAGGACCATGCCACCTAGGTTTCCCAGTACAGTCTTGGTACTTCAATTTCCCCTTTTGGGGGAGGGGGGCAATTCTTCCTCAGGACCAGCCCAGTGCTGCTGAAAGCATGGTGGCAGCACCTCACCTGGGGAGGAGTTCCCTGGGTGAATAAGTCATAGCAATGGGTGCCGTGACACCTCTACCCATCCTGCCCCAATTAACTGGTTTTCCTGTTCTAACTGGCTTGATCTTAGCAGACTCTCTCTGTTCCTGGGCCCTTCGTCCACCTGGGACACCTGGTCAGTGCACCACATCCTGGCATCCTCTTGTGTGCTTTTCTAGTCCGTGAGGTCCTGCTCTTTGCCATCGCGGGTGCCTGTCCCTTCCTCTCTGGCTCTCTTGCTTTCCCTGGGGGGGTATCTGGGCTGAAATCTCACACGTAGCCTTCCCTGCGTTCTCCTAGCCGACACTGGTTATGAAACCCAACTCGACCCCGCTCTTCCCTCTGAGGCAGGATCCTACTGTGGGACCCCCAGGGATTGGCTTTGGGGGAGTGGCTTCTGCCCTTTCTTCACTGGGGGTAGCAAGCCGCACAGGAAGGTGGAGTGGCTGCTGGGATCCAGCATGAAGGTGCAGCAGGTGCACAGTATGCTCAGGAGAAGGGATATGGCTTCCGTCTTCTCCTTCCCAGAATCCCTAGGGCCCCAGAATCATGCCCTAAGGGGCTGTCCTCTCCAACATTCAGGCTTCCCTGCATCAGAATCAACTGAACCCTCACAACTCGTGAGCATGAGCAAAGACATGGTGAGGGGGCATTTGTTGTGGATCAGAGGCCCTGGTTGCTGGGTGGCAACAGGCCCATGAACCCCCAAAGGACTGACGGGATAAAGCCAGCTGGACCCAGAAAGCCCAGAAGGAGCTAGCCCTTGAGAGCCAGCTAGGGAAGCCGGTGGGCCAGCAGCAGGGCCCCAGAAGCCACCCTGTCTCTGCAGCCCCAGCGGCCCCGGTGGATGAAGTGCGTAGACGAAACGGGAGCCTTCTTCGAGCCTACCTTGGCAGCCTTATTCATCCGGGATGCCTTCGGCCCACGCGTCCAGAGAGCTGTATGTGGGCCCCTGTGCCCTGGCAGGGCCAGACCTGGGGTATGACAGGGCAGGGCCACTGGGTACCCTGGCCATGGTCTGGTCAGGTCACTACCTGCCCACCCATACTCGGGCTGGGCCATGTCACCACCTTGGCTGGGTCTATCTCCGCTGGGCCCTCCGTATGAAACACGTGACCCCATGATGGCTAAGCCTTCTGCAGGCTGGGGCACTGAAGGTGGGAACCCAGGAAGTGGGAGGAGATCATGCATGCATTGGAGAGGGTGGAGGACCGGGCAGAGGGGTGGTGGCCAAATCCCTCCTCTGCTTCCGGGTTGCTCAGCCACTTAGCCTGGGCCTGAGGGTCAGGACAGCATCCGGCCCCCTTCATAGAAAAGACTGCCTTCCTCAGGGACTTCCAGGATCAGCAAGCCCATCTCTCCCTCCATCTGCAGTCCCTCCCTCCTCACTCACCCAAGAGATACCACCCCTCTTGAGAGGTGGACCCAGAGCCCTCTCCCCTCACCAGGCCATGGACCTGTTCGCCAGCATCAAAGACTCCCTCCTAGCCCGCCTCCACAGGGTCTACTGGATGAATGAGGAAGTACGTAGGGAAGCCCAGGACCAGGTAAGCCAAGGGGAATCGTGGAGAACATACATGAGGAGTGGAGGGTTCTGAGGGGCTGGAGAGTGGGCTGAGGGCTGGACAGAGCCTGGGCACATCCAGATACAGGCAGGGCACGGCCCAGGCTCCCTACCAACAGCCCAAGGTGAGAGTGCACTAGAACTTCCTCTCTACTGGGGTTCCCACGCTTTCCAGGTCACCCGGCTGCAGGTGAAGATGGGCGCCCCAGAGTGGATGCTGGAGCCTGAGCTGGCCACACAGGGGTACCCTGAGGTGGGTCCTTCACCTCCCCTGATGCTCCTGGCTCCCCTTTGTTTCCAGAGTGATTGTTACCCCCTCCTTGCTCCAGACACCATGAGAGCATCACACTCATAGAAGTGCCCTAAATCGGTGTGTCAGTGTGTGTGTGAGAGCGTGAGTGAGTGTGTGTGTCTATGTGTGCACCATCCTAGCATGCATGCTGGTGCTGACCCACAGGCCCATCTGTGTGCTCACATGCGTCCTGGGACGCAGCGCGTGGCCACAATGCACAGACATGCAGCCGTCTCTACTCGTGCCTATGGGCTCTGGGTGTCAGGTGGTCATCAGCCCCCAGGAGACTCGTGAGCCCTGTGTGTACCCCAGGTACAGGTGGGGGGCAGCTTCCTGCTGCGGTTCCTGAGCTGTGTCCGTGCCCTCCGAGCCAGGAAGATCAGGGGCTTCCTGCAGCCCTCCCCCCATCCCAGGTAGGGGCACAACCCGGGACAGGAGGGGCTGAGGTGCCACAACAGCAGCTTGGGGTGGTGATGGTGCGGGCAGTGCTCACTCACTGTCCCCGCAGCTGGCGTGTGTACCCCTGGGGCGTCAACACTTACTACTCCCTGACCCACCACACAGTGATCTTCCCCGCGGGGCTTCTGCAGCCACCACTTTTCCACCCTGGCTACCCCAGGTATGTCAGTGGGGCATGGCTTGGGCAAGGGATGGCCTGGCGCCTGGGAAGCAGGGGATTCTGGTGAGACCCGCTTTGTCCCCCAGGGCCGTCAACTTCGGAGCCGCTGGCACCATCATGGCGCATGAAATGCTACACACCTTCTACCAGCTCCGTGGGTGTCGGGCCTGCTTGGGGATAACGGGAGGAGGGCCTGAACCTTCCAGATGACCCCTCCCACACTCTGCCTGACCCCTGGCCATCTCTCAACCCTGGCCCACCCTCACCTCTTCCAGCTCCTGCCCACGCCCACCCACCTCTCACCACCTCCCCCTGCCTCACCCCTGTCTCCAACAGTGCTCCCTGGGGGCTGCACAGCCTGTGACACCCCTGCCCTGGAGAAGGCACTGCTGTGTCTGGAGCGCCACTACGCCGCCATCCCCCTGCCCAGGGGGGTCTCCTTCAACCACTCCCACAC